GGCGTACTTGACCTCTCGGAGGTCTTGTACAAGACCTTGAACATCATTAATTGCATATATATGAAAAGTAAATGGAATTAAACTTTTATTTCAAAATATAATGTGGAAGTCATTTTATAAAACATCTAACATATGTCTCAAAAACCATCTATGACATCATGAGTACAATAGTCTTGTGTCACTGTCCATAAAATTCTAAACATGAAAGAATATAAAAGACAACGTAGTAGTTATGTCCTCAGATACTAGGAGGACTCACCAGTCTTCTTTTCTTTCAAGCCTTAAAAACTTTACCCTTGAAATCAACTCAATATCCTCAAGACCCTACATGAACAATATGTAGGCAATATATGTTAGTATGATAAGTACTAAGTATGGAAACTATCATTAAAAACATAAGATATCTCAAAGGGTTAGTAAATAATAGACATAATCTTAAGAGCGAAAAGCATAAGCATAACATGAATAACAAAAGCGTAATACAGCATCATAAAGTATATAAGAGTTCATATTTAAATAATTGTCCTTTTTACTTAAATGAACTACTCACAAGCCACCTCCACGTATACTAGTGCAAGACTAAGGTAGCAGCTCAGACTACTACAAAAGCTAGTACATCTCTTTGGTCATTCTTGATCATAGTCCACTTTCATAATTAATATCTAAGTTCATCATATCATATAAGAACTATGCCCCTACGTCACCCCAAAGCATACTTGTGCAATGCATGTGAAACATCCCATACTACCTCACACACTAAGCATATCTTGAAGTAACCCTATCTTTATTCATATCATCTTAAGATTTATCTAATATACCTACTTAATATTGACAAGTAACTATCATCTTAAGTCAATCATGTCATGGAAAGTAACAATAGCACTATTCAACCTAAGCATACATCATGTAGTGGTAATGTCATAGGTAGCTTTAAGTCATACTTGTGTCATGTATGGATAGCATCCCATATTACCATCCATACTAACTACTCCTCTAAACTATCTTACTCCAATCTAACTTTTCTTGTAACTTTGTCTATTAAGCTCAACATACTACCATAATAGACCTACTACCATGGAAATCATCTCGACATACTAACCAAGCTAACTAAAGGAAGGATACAACCATTATAGCCACCATGCAACCAATCATGTAGATGTAAGCTAATCATAAGGGAGCATGAATCCTTAACCCTAAGATACCATGAGAAACTAATCTCAAGCTATGACATGAAATTCACCTTTCATGCAAATCAAGCTACCATGAAATGCACCTTGAATGCAAGTCAAGCTAATATTAGGAGAGTATAGGCCTTTCCCTTAATGCTACCATGAAATGATTTTGGCCTAACCAAGTCAAGATAACATGATCAAGTAAACTTACAACACAAGACCAAGCTAATCATGGGAGATCTTGCTTACTCCATCCCAAGTTAACATGAGAACCACCATTCCCAAGCTACCTTGATCAAGCATCCTTGCAACACATGACCAAGCTAAACATGAGAGAACTTACTTCCTCCATCTCAAGCTACCATGAATTTCACCACCTCAAGCAACCATGAGTAATTCAACTCAAGCTTCCATGAGACTCAACATCTTAAGCTATCATGAGTATTTCAACTCAAGCCTCCTTAAGATTTACCATCTAAAGCTACCCTTGAGACCTACCATCTGAAGCTTTCATGAGACGACCATCTCAAGATATCATGAGAATTCACATCTCATGTTATCATGAGAATTCATATCTCAAACTATCATAAGAATCACATCTTTAGTTATCGTGAGAATTCAAATCACAAGCTATCGTAAAAATTTATATCTCAAGCTATCATGAGATTCACATCTCAAGCAATCATGCTTTGGTCTTATCTGACCAAGTCTCTTACTCATGAAGTGATCATATAACTCAACTTCAAGATAATCTTAGTCAACCATGCAATGATTCATTTTAGGTTCTTAAGTCAACCTAGGGTTCATCTATGTGACAGAACTTGCTTCTCCTAATCATGTTCATGTCTAGGTGTAGAAGAGAAAGGAAACATCACCACAATCATCCTCATCATGACTTTAACCCAAAATCCCTAACATCAACGGCATAACAACCCATAAACTATTACTACCTTTAATTCATTATGATTAATTTCAGTTTCATACTTTGTTCATTCAATTATATTATTAAAAGATAATTCTTGGTATGCATGATCACATAGGTTCAATTCAAACTTTAAAAGTCAAGACCAACCTAGATCAATTAAGCGTAGTTCGATTCATATCTAGGTGATTCAATCATGATTAAATACCATAGAATACAATTGAATTAAGAAGATTAATATAAAACCTTCATCTAGTCTCTAATGGCCTAAAATTACCATGATAACCTTCAAATTCAATTACCATACTTCACCATGAAAAAAAACATATAATCATCATATAAACATAAGTGAATGTTACCCAGTATTTGGGATCACTAACACACCTTACCTAGAATGCAATCGCAACCCTCACTAGATTGGGGTTCTTTCGGTTCACAATTTATGGGAAACTAAGGGGCTTCATGGATGGAAGAATCCATGAATGAATAAGTTTCACATACCTTAGATTAGAGCCTTTATCTTAGCTTGAATCCTTGGAGATATCGTCCTAAGATGTTGCACCTCATTCTTCTTCTTCTCTAATGGTGTTCTTGACAATTCGAATGTGAGAGAGAGGATTGGATTTTGAGTCTAGAGTCTAGGAGGGTCTTTTATTGTTGAAATACTGCTAAAATACATAAAAGCACCTAATTTAACCTCTCATGCATTTATTTGGACATGGAGTGAATTTCCCAATTCACCCTTAACAGTAAATTGTATGAAATACGGGTTGCATCGACGAAAGGCCACCGGCGGGGCGTCGACAAGACGACGGACCGTACTGGCAACCGTTGTCTTGGTCAGAGACTGCTCCAAGGAGCCTCTCACTCAAGAGGTTAAGTGTCAATCTACGCCCCTCCATCGACGGGGCATCAACCAACACACGAGACGTCGATTGCCTCGTCGATTGACACTGCCCAGACGTTGTCTAGGCCATGGTTGGGGTCCTCTTTGAGGGCCTTTGTGAGGCCCTTGGGGAGTCGTGCTTGAAATATCAACCCCAATTACGTTCGCCTAGATGTTAGGAACTATCCCTATCAATTTGAGCTAAAACACTACCTAAAACCTCATGAAACATACTAAGGCACGCCAGCACGTCTCAAGGTTATCTTTCAAATGTCACCAGACGTTCTTGGATGTTTCACCTCCAAACTCTCTCAAACTCCTATGTAATGCCTCTAAACACCATAATTGACCATTTTAGGACCTTATAACCTCATGACACTCATGTTAGGCTCTAGCTACAACTAAATCTCATTTGAGGTGTTACACTGTCCCAACAAACCTCTTTATTATAAAGGCTTTATAGACTGTCAGATAGTTAGTTTTCAGTCTCTCATCTTTGTATTTAGATATTTTTTTATGAGACTTAAGTTCCATTTTCCCAACTTATTATTCTTTCAGTTATTAAATGCGAATGTTTTATTGAGTTAAGTCTTCCGCTGAGTTAAGTAAGCCAGTCCAAGGATCCATCCGAGGCCAACATTGGTCTTCGAGTGCCAGTCATGTACAAGGTGTAGGCTTGGGGTATGACAGTTAAGGTATCTAAGTGAAATTTTCTACCAACTTTTTAGGGGGTCTTTGGCCTAAAATATAGGCTTGAGTCATCTACGGCCTCCTAAAGTTATCCGCATATTTCATTTAGACATCTTAACTTAAGCTAGTACCTATGGAACACCTAAGTTGTTCAAAATGTGTACTTATTAAACACAGAATGTTGATATGGCAAAAAAAAGTGAGTTTCACCCACTTTTAGCGCGTGAAGAAATCTGAATTAAAAAAAAACTTACTCTTTTTCTTCTTCCATTCAGAGTTGACATTATAAATAATTAAAATAATTTTTTAAATATTTTAGAAAAACAATAATTTTTAATCCCAAAAAAAAACCCAACGCCGCTCCCTTTTTATTGCTTTTAGTCTTCTCCTTCCCCACCTAATTTATTTCAAAAACTACATTTTGTATCTATTTTTTTAAAAAAAATCAACTAATTGGATTTGCAAAAAGAAAGAAGAAAGAAGATTTTTGGACATCATAGTCAACAATATGGTCGACGATCCGTTCAACTTCATATCTGACAACCTCCAAACAAACATTACTACTCAAATTAAAATATAATCTATTTAATTTATAAAAAGTAATATCAGAGAATTCCATAAAATTAATTTGGATCTTTTCGTTCCCTTTTACAATTGATTGTGAAATGGTTATCTATGAACAAACTCCGCTTCTTCATCACTCTTGTACGAGTCTCTCTTTGTATCTTTCTCTCGTGTATTAGGTATGAAAAATATGTTGTTAAAGAAAAAGAATCTATAAATAATTTGATTAAGATACCAAATTTTGTGATATTTGAAAAAAAAATAATACAAAGAAGAAAAGAAGGTCGGCGGGGGGGGGGGGGGGGGAGAGAGGGGATTAGCATGGGGCTGGTCGTAGAATCGATAGAAAATACATTTGAAAATTGAAACAATTTTTTTAATTAAAAATTATTTTCTATAATTTTTGAGGTCCACTAGTCACATGTCATTTTTTCATTGATCATTTTGTGATGTTTTCGAGAACATATCATATACACTTTACATTTAATTGTTTATCAAAAAATTGTCTAATAGGAACAAGTTTTATATAATAAAAGTATCCAATAAATAATAATTTTAATTAAAATGTCTAAGTGAATTATGTAAAAAAATTTAAATGATCGTGAATGACTTAGATCTACACGTACAACACACATGTTTATGAACTAGTATACATTGATAAATAGATATTTGTTTTTCTTGATAAGTACAAAGAAAGTGAACAAAAGACATGTTATAGAAGTAAAAAATAAATAAATAAGTTAATCTCCCACCGATCCCCCAGGGACCCAAACCTGGCTACAGCCACCTCCTTTGAGGTACAAAAGCAAATGTCAAACAATGTCAAGTAGAACAACTTTACTTTTTCTCATTATATTATTGTTAATATAATATGCTAAAAGGAGCAGCAGCAGCCCCTAACTTGTAAATATATACTTTAATCTCTTCTTACTCAACCTCTTCACCAGGAATAATTCTCTCTTCTTGTTTTCTTTGTCAAACAATTTGATTTTTCATTTGACTGCTGTATCGACCAACCCCATCTGCCAACTATCATTTTTATGTATAGTTGATAAGCTGTGATCAAATTGTTGATAATATTTTTGTGGGTTTTGAGGTTTGTCAATTTTTCGTGTTGTAATTGGGAAAAAAATGTTAGGGAGGGAGTGTTGGTGTTGGGATAATTTATGTGATTATTACCCTGTTGTTGAATCAAAGAAATTTTCTTTGCCTTCACCCCTTCCTAAATGGCCTCAAGGTATGTCTTCTTCAAATTTTGTTGTTTTTTTGTATGTTTTATCAATTTTTGTTGTTCTCTTTCATAAAATCCCTGTTTTTCAGTCTTGATCTTTTTGTCTGTCTGCAGTGCATGTTGAATATGATGAAAGATCAGTTGTTATTTGAATAAGACATTAATATATATGGTTCTAATTTCTTTAGTTGAACTCAATTCTTGTTTACTTATATCTGTTGTGCTTATTTATGATCAAAAGGGTCAACAAAATGAAATTATTACTTACTCTTAAAATCCTTATTGGGAAGAAGAATTTTGGACAAAAGATTATTGTTTTGGAATTTCCTGCTGACTTTTTGTTTCAAGACTTGGTCAAATATGGTGTTCTATTCTTGAAAATTCATTAACTTGGTCAATTGTTTGGCTAGGAATGGGAGATGTGACTTGTTTCACTGTTTTAGATTTTCTGAGAGCTTTCACATTTGACTAAATTTAGATAACTTTGATAGAGCTATTTCGATTTCTGTTTCTATGTATTGTTCCTCGGACATTGCTTAACATTATTTTGTGGTAGTTACTGTTTCTTATTCAGAATGTTGTGTCTTGTTTGTGGGACGTATGTGAATTGAGAAAAAGAGAAGCTCAGTTTGCTAATGGGGCATATTTTGTTTTTATAGGCAATGGATTTGGAACAGGAAGAATATGTTTAGGGGAAATTGAAGTTGTTCAAATCACCAAATTTAAGAAAATTTGGGGTTGCGGCTCATCGTTTGGAAAATCGGACTGTGTTTCGTTTTATATGCCGGATGGAATTCCAGAAGGATATTATATCCTTGGTCACTATTGTCAGCCAGATGGTGAGCATATAACCGGTTATGTTCTTGTTGCCAAAGACTTATCTAATGTCCAAGATTCAGCTTCAAAGCTCCCGGCTCTTCAAAAGCCTCTGAATTACACTTTAATTTGGAGGTCGGACTCGCAATACAATGGAGGTGGTTATATTTGGATGCCAAATGCACCAGTTGGTTATAAATCGATAGGATGTTTGGCTTCTGTTGAGCCTAATGAACCTGATCGTGATGAAGTTAGATGTGTCCGAGCTGACCTGACGGAAAATTGTGAGGCCTCTGAAATGATATTTAGTTCAGATTCCTTTTTCCAAAGGAAACAATTTCAAGTTTGGAAAACTAGACCGTGCAAGAGGGGCATGCTTTGTGCAGGGGTTTCTGCTGGGACGTTCTTCGGTAGTACAAGCTTCAGTTCTGGAGATGAGCTTGATATTGCATGCTTGAAAAATCTCGACTCCTCTCTACACGCAATGCCCAATCTCGAGCAGATCCATGCCCTCATCAAGCACTATGGACCAACAATGTATCTCCATCCAGATGAAATTTATTTGCCTTCCTCAGTTGCATGGTTCTTCATGAATGGAGCTCTCCTTTACAAAGATGGAAGGAATAATGGTACAGTCATCAACTCAAAAGGCTCAAACTTGCCTGCAGGAGGATTAAACGATGGTCAATATTGGCTTGATTTGCCAAATAAAGATGATGCAAATAGAACCAGTGTCAAATGTGGGAATATCGAGAGTGCAGAGCTCTATGTTCATATCAAACCATCGATAGGAGGAATCTTCACAGATATTGCAATGTGGATATTCTGTCCTTTCAATGGACCGGCTACTGTCAAGATTGGATTATTGAGTTTTACTTTGAATAAAGTAGGAGAGCATGTTGGTGATTGGGAGCACTACACACTCCGTATCAGCAACTTTTCTGGTGAGCTCTGGAGTGTGTATTTCTCAGAACATAGTGGTGGTGAATGGGTAGATGCCTGCAAACTGGAGTTCATAGAGGGTAACAAGCCAATTGTATATGCATCGAAATATGGCCACGCGAGTTTCCCACATCCTGGCTGCTATCTTCAAGGCTCTTCTAAACTCGGTTTTGGACTGAGAAACGATTGCGCCCGTAGCAAGTACTATGTGGACTCTAGCAGCAAATATGAAATTGTAGCTGCCGAGTACCTTGGAGAGGGAGTTGTTGCAGAACCACCATGGTTGCAGTATATGAGAGAATGGGGTCCAACCATCATATACGACGGACGATCAGAAGTGGAAAAAATAATCAAGCATCTTCCTTTTTTCATGAGATTTTCAGTGGAAAGTTTCATTGAGCTATTTCCAACTGAACTTTATGGTGAAGCAGGGCCAACAGGACCAAAGGAAAAGGACAATTGGTTGGGGGATGAAAGATGGTAGGTGGTTTGACATAGCTGCTCATGTCCAAAATGCACTTGGCAACCATTTGATGTACACTGCAGTAGGGGGGTTCAAATGAAAACCTTTCTTCTGCATCTGTATCCAATTCTACGTAATAAATTGTATAAACAATCATAAATTTTTCATGATAGACAGTATAAACGAATTAGGGCTTGTTTGGTAGAACGTAGAAGAATATGATAAATAGAGTTCTTATGCATTTTCTGGTTTGATATATTAAAAATAGTGTGCAGTATTGTATGATTTTCATTTAAAATATTTTTATACAGAAATACCCTCTACAAATCTGATGAAAAAGATGTCAAAACAAAATAAAATGGAGATAATAATGCTTGTATTAAATCCTCTTTGCACTACTTGAACTTTCATGTGTTAGTAGTAGTATATCCCTCAACACATGATAAAGAGTGTATAAAATAATCATAGGAAAAAAGTGTACCAAATAAGATACTACTAATACATAAATGTGTTTAGCCAATGCATACATTATTTCTTCTAATACACTCTACCAAACAGACCCTCTACCAAACAACCCCTAAGAGACGATCTTTCGAGTCACCTCTCAAGATTTATTTTAACATAAACCTGCAATACTGAAATTTTTGTATTAAAAAAATATGCACAACTAATCAGATAGTATGTTGTGGATGCAATTAAAGATAAATTAGTCAACAATAACCGAATAGTAAATCTTGGACAAAATATGATGGGCATCCAGCAGAAAAAAGAGGGATTTCCTTCTTTGCAATATGATGTAGCAGTTCAGACAAAAGAGATATCCCTCTGCATTTTTCAAAATACAAATGATGACAACAGTTTCACTTAACAAAGAGCCAAATCTCAGTAGAACATTTCCATCTCCCTTACCCCAAAATGAGTAGATTGTTTTCTCAAGTCATGGCTGAAACCTAAAACTGAATGTTTACCAAGTCCCTCACAGTGTATTGAATCGCCCCAAAAAAGGCTGAACTATAATATAAATACATGGATGGCATTACTTTGCTGATCTAACACCCTCCCACTTGATCTCTTGAGCACACTCCCCGCAAACGGTGCTGCAACCCCACTTTGTGCCTTGACTTCTAAGAGTAAGCAAATGTGATAGCTTTGTGCACTTCCTATGCACCAAACGGCATCTAGAACTCCCCACTGCAAATACAAGATTACGGTCCGCTGGCGGAAAAACGGTGGCCCTGGGAACAAATGGCTTTTGCTTTAACAATGATTCAGTGGTAGAGATATGCTGCTGTTCAACAGGTTCATCAGGCAAAACTCTCCTCTCTTCCCATTCAATAGATCTCCGATACACTTCCCACGCCATTTCCTGCTCTTCTTTTGATAGCTTTTCATCTTCATTCTCTTGCAGGAGACTTTCATGTTCATGATAATTCGCAATCCACCTGAAGAAATTACTAAATTCTTAGCAACATTGTTCTTCTATTGATAAAGTAAATAATAATTTAACAACTAAGATGAGTTTCCACAACAGACTAAGACTCTGTTTGGATCGGCTTTTGACTTGTAAGCCAATCATAAGTTAGATATCCTAACTTATAACTTGGGCTTATTTTATCATTTTCGCTTAAAAACCAAGTGCTTATAAGCACTTCTATAATTTACCCAAACACTCTGAAGTGCTTAAAAGTCTAACTTATGGCTTATTTTTATCATTTTAGCTTCAAACCAAGTGCTTATAAGAACTACTTTAATTTACCCAAAATACTCCAGAAGTGCTTAAAAGCTATTTTGGCTTAAAAGCACTTTCAATAAGCCAATCCAAACAGGCTCCAAGCACACCCAGAAAAAAATCTAAGCTTGAATGAGTTGCTAAAAAAACATCCAGAAAAATACATAAGCAGGGATGTCTTCAAACCCAAGAGACACTGCAGGTTATGGTTTTAACAACCAACCACTAGATTATTAAAAAGAGAACACCTAAAGAAAGTAAAAAACGGAAAAGAGGAGAAGAATCGACGCATCATATTAACACAAATAAAAAAAAATAGTCATTCTAAGATAGAGCTAATACTTGGATTAATAGGTGGTATACTTGGTTCTAAAGGAAATATAGAGTCAACTTGTCAGCATCAGTACCGAAGGAAGAACTGCAAAAATCAGTATGGAAATAAAAGAAGTAAAATATGGAGAATCGCTGAAAACAAAAGGCATTTGCTCGAAAACTTCTAGAGCATTATGAGCTCAAAATATGAGAAGTAGGTGCTCCGTAGAATTGTTCATTTTTTTTCATAGGTTGAGCAGGGGCACCAATGCCCGGATAACTTACATATCACAACAGATCTTAAGGTACGGAGAATCGCTGAAAACAAAAGGCATTTGCTCGAAAACTTCTAGAATATTATGAGCTCAAAATATGAGAAGTAGGTGTTCCGTAGAATTGTTCATTTCTTTTTCATAGGTTAAGCAGGGGCACCAATGCCCGGATAACTTACATATCACAACAGATCTTAAGGTACGCAGGGGTTTATCAGACACTAAAAAAGGAATAAGTGATCCAGGTCAACCAAGAAATCAGCTGGTAGATACACTTTTCAATCTGGAAAGATGGATATATCATAACAAGGTTTCTAGAAGTGATGACAGTAATATAATCTAACTCCAGCTGGTGGATTGTTTTTGTTTAGTTCGTGACTCAGCTGGTGCAACACCGACATCAGACAACAACCGACTTGAAAACAGAAACAACCAGTTTCATTCAGCATTGACAGATCAACAAGGTGATATTAAGAACAATGAAGGAAGCTATGAAAGAACTTACAGACACCCTTTTTTTTAAGGGAATAATAATTATGCAGAGAAAGAAACAGGAACAGAGTTTTTTTGGTTGTTCTTTTTTTGAAGGGAAAAAAGTACTTCGTTACTGTTTCTTTCTGCATAATTCTTTAAATATCAACACACGTATTCACTTAGAGAAAGGAACCGAGCATACTTAAACGGACCTAGACAAATAAAAACAATTGGGTTTTTCCGATTATAGCAAATCAGTCACCCCCACAGGTTCTGGATATTTTCTCCTATAAAGTCTAAAGCACGCAAACTATTACACTATTAATTAGAACACTCATCTATATATAGTTTAATGAAAATGTATAATTGAAAAATCTCAGAACACAAACTGATTGCACAAAACTTCCAAAACACATTGAAAATAACAGAAGTTATGTTCTGAAGAAATTACTGAACACAACGAAGCAAGAAAAGAACATCGTACCGCGGATGATGCCTGTCAATCAAACTTTGCATTAGCTTGTCAGAAGAAGAACTTCCATTTGGAAAGGTTAATTTTTGTTTCTGAACACTTCCAACATTTACATTTGAGTTTGCTTCACCAGCATGTTCTCTAACTTGCTTCAATTCCAGAGGTATATCACAGCTTTCGTCATCTCCAAATTCAAAAAGGTGCAACATTTCCTCTTTAGATATAGTTCTATGTACTTGTTGCCTATCAACCACCCGTGCTGCAAGACCTTCCTTTGTTACCTGCTTAAATCATCCACTTAAATAATTCGAGAAATAAAAGCTATTCTGACATGAGCTGATTCTGGATTCTTTCTTTTACCTGGCGCTTGTATATCTTTTCCTCCATCGTTCCATGTGCCAGTAAACGGTAAGCAAAAACAGGTTTTGTTTGACCATACCTAGAACCATACAAAGCATTCAGGCTAAATAAATATTCTAATGGAACCTGGGTGTTTGTTAATGAGCAAATTTGGAAGACACACCTCCAAGCTCGGTATATAGCTTGAAGATCATGAGTAGGATTCCAAGAGCCATCAACTATAATTACACGGTTGGCAGCATAAAGATTGATACCAAGAGATCCAGCTCTAGTAGATATCAGTACGCACTTAACCCTTCTATTCAATGGACTGTTAAAACAGTCAACAAGTTTCTGCCTTTCAGATGATTCTGTTCTTCCATCAATCCTATTATCCAAAATTGGAGACCAAAAACTCTCAATAACACAGTTAGTGAAAGCAAGAAAATGAAGACAAACCACATCAGCAGAAACAATTGAGCAAAATAGCATTCACCACTATATCCCCTTATCGTAATTTCTTTTGACAATTCGTACTATTATATTCCTCAGCATTAAGGAAAGCTTGCCACTTCCGAAAGTAATTTACACAAAGGAGTAAGTCAGAATCTAGATTCACAAGGCACCTAAGAAGTCTACAAGTTCATCTACTTTCCCTTATTGTAACCTTCTCTCTTTCCAAAAAGAGTGACGATGTAGGGCTTCCTGACCATCAAAACTGGAAAAACTTTGACGAAGATGTAGTTCAAAATCTGGTGTAATATTTGATGACAAATGGACCTTGGGTCTAACTCGAGCCCAAAAATTACGCTGTGAATATGAGAATTGACTAGTGCTATATAAGGAAATAATCAATTCCCTCCATGAATGTAGGACACTTAACATCCCCAACACGTCAAAGACTGGATTTCTAGAGCACGGACAACAGAATATGAGTTTGATCTATTATAAGAAATGGACCTTGTGCCTAACTCAACCCCAAAAACTAGCTAATGATACGAGGACTAACCAAAACCATACAAGGAGACAACAAGTGGAACACTCTATTCTAATCATTTTTAAATCTTCTGTGGTATAGTGCGAGGAAAGAAGAAATGTTGGCAATTTTAGTTTAGATGGAATTTTGAGGACAGTTTCAATAAGACAACTTTTAAAATAAATTTACTTATTTATTAATGTTCAGTGCACCAATTATTTTGTGTTCCATTTTACCATAACCAGAAGGAAGAGATCCGTCCCTCAAGAGCTCATGTGATGAATAAGAAAAGCTAAACTAATACGTAAACTAACAAGATTAGTAGACAACTATATATACTTTTTTGAGAGTGCGCTTGGATAGCTAGTAATTATAACGACAATCTCTGAAATATGAGAAGTGTGTGCCGCATAATATGTGAATCAGTCGGCTTGTTTTCTTTCCATTGTTGACTGGGGAAATATTACTTTTTTTCTTTGACTAGATGATTGGAATCACTCTAAAAATAGGTCAAATGTTCTTATGAAGACGATGAAATTTGCAAGAATTGTATCTTTCAAATGATATATTGTGAGATATTCATAAGAAATGCAACAAGGATGGTTCCCGCACCAAGGTTGTTAGAAGATACTTCTGGTAAATAAATGTGTGCCCCGATAACATGTCAAGCTTTTAGATAAGATGAAGACACTTTACCATAATATTATAG